AGGCTTACTACACGGCCCTCCATCCCCAACTGTCCAGCCAGACTGGACACAACACTCTCTCCCTCTCTTGTCCTCTCCACCCTGTACATCGCCCCTTATATCTAATTCATGGATACATCCTGTGCACTTTCCTTCCAAAATATTTCTCAGAAGTGCCCACTTGTCTTCCCAGTGTCCGCTGCCATGTCCTCTGAGCTCCTATCCTTGCTGCTCTTCACCCTGTCCCACAGCCATTCTCCAAATTATCCATTCTCCACATCCTGCCAAAGGGGTTGGAAAACATTTTCCGTAAAGGGCTTTGGCTTTTTGGGTCACAGGGTCTCTGCTGGTGCAGACAACTCTGGAAGGGCTAGCCAATCCAAACAGCAAAAACTCTCCTGGCTGTGCACCCAAGTGGACAGGCAGCCACCTCGCACACTCAGGGCTGCTCAACAGAACTTTCTGAGATGATGGAAATGTTTCCACCCTGTCCATTACAGTAGCCACTAGCCACGTGTGGCCAATGAGCACCTGACAAGAGGCTGGTGTGACCGGGGAGCTGAATTCTTAACTTTATTTGGTTTTAATTAATTTAACTAACCATGCAGCTAGTGGCTACTGTACTAGATAAGACAGCTCTGGATTTTCTGGGAGTGAGTCAGTGGTCACAGCCCACAGCTCCTCAACCAGAGAGATCCCAAGGGAAGCTTCTAACAGCCCCATGAAGGTTCCCCCACCCCACTAGCCCAAGGTGGAAGTGTGGGTCCCCCAACCTCTGCTCTGAGGACCCTGGGACTCAACACACCAGCAACTCTCACCAAAAACCCTCCTCCGACATCTCCCCACAAAACCCATCCATGCTCATCACACCCTGACCGCTCGTGTCCCTGAGGTGTCTGAGGGGTCCACAGGCTGGGTAACCGGTTTTTCAACATCTCTCTAAGCCTACATCTTCCTCTGCATCTTATGTGAGCCTGTAGCTACCATTATAGTTCAGAATCTTGTCAAAACAGAAATTTTAACAGTAAGTCTCAAGTGTTGTTCCAAATTAAAAAAAAAAACACGCAGAAGCCAGTATCAGCTTTGCATGTGCCCTGCACCTGGGGTCCCTTCCTCAGGGCTATCCCTGTCCCACCCGGACCAGCAGAGGTCTCTTCTCACTGACTCAACCCCCAGCTGAGGCTCCTGTGTTGCCATACGAACCCCAACGTAGGGCTCACATCTAGGAGCCGAAGTAACTGACGCTCAACCACGCATGCACATCCATGACCTACTGTACGTCTTGACGGAACACGTTTGATTGACATACTTCTGTATGGCCCTCTCCTCACTTATTTTCTAGAAGAGGAGCTGGTGAACTTTTTATCGACAGGGCAGATAGTAAACATTTCAGGCTTTGCAGGACAAGAAGCAATATCAAGATTCCCCCAAAAGGAACGACCCCTTCTCAGCTCTCAGCGATGGTCGCTGGGTGGGGACACCAGCCCAGTGGGGCCCGAACTTTGAAGGATGAAAAGAAGCTAGCTAGAGGTGTGGATTTTTGCAAACACTCTCAATTTTTAAAGGTTGACTTGCAATTTTTTAAGGAGTGAATTTAATGTCCTTGCGTTAAATTATGATCTGCTCCCTCACTGAAGGGCTGCGCCGAGGCCAGGCTTCTCCACAGACACTGGGAGCTGCAGTGGTGGTCAGTGTCCCTGGTGCAGGATTCCAGGCCTGCAGGGCTGCAAGTGACCCCACGGGGTCCCAGCTTACAGTAAAATGCAGGTGGACCCACACCCCTAAAGACACGTGCTGCTCAAGACAGGGCCTCAGGGGCATTTGCCGGCAGCCAAATATGAGTGTGAATGTACCACTCTCCAAGGGCTGCTTTTCCACGATGATGATGATAAAATGAAGATGATGACACAAACGATGAGGATGATGACAATGGTGACGGTGGCAATCACTAGCAGCAGCAGCAAACACTTTCTGAAGACTCACTGTGTGTTAGGACTGAGCTAAGTGATTCCTGGGGATTACTTAATTTAATTTTAGTAACCCTGAGAGGTTGGTGCGACGATTACCCTCATTTATGGTTGATGACACAGGCTCAGAGAGGTTGAGTGACTTGTCCACGGCCACACAGCTTAGTGAGTAGTTCAGTCACATCTCAGACCTGGGTCAGCCTGATTCACAGGCGTTGCTCTCAATTCCCTAATTCTTTACTCTTGGATGAGTTGCTTACCCTGCGCACCTCCATTTCATCATGAGTAAGAGGGGGCAACAGCAGTGCTGATCTCCGAGGGGTGTTTCCAAGGTTAAATGAGCTAATATATGCACAGCACCCTGCACACTGGCCGAGGACGTCAGCTCTTATCGTCTCGGCCTTATGACAAAGATCACCAGCTGCTACTACGGGGTAAGGAACGAACGGGGCTTTCTCCAGCTAGGCTTCGGGCTGCTTCAGAGTGGACGTTTCTCTGCACTTCCCATACTTCTGCTTGCTGCATTTTACTTATGTGAACACACACTTTTTAACTTACCATGAAAAGAAAATCTCTATCACTACCCCAAATGAGAAATCCACACCACTTGCCCCAATTAATAAAAATAAACATCACTATTAAAATGTTCTCTAACCGTGTGCCTGTGCCACCCACGTAAAATCATCCCCCATCCCCAGGGGCCTGGGACTGCACTGGGGCAGGCAGAATGAAGAGCCCGGCCACGGGATGAGGCTGCGCCGTGTGGATCACACAGTGACCAGGCCCAGTGGGTCTCACGCCCCAGGCCCTGCCCCACCCTGAGGCCCAGGGCTCCTCCTATCCTGCAAACCTCATCGTCATTCCATCCCCATCCCTATCCGAGGCTCCAACTACCTGCACAGAAAGGCTGCCTGCCTGACCCCCTCTATCCTACCCCAGCTCTGGCCACCCTTGCAAGCCTTCAGCCCTGCCAAAGTCCTTTGGTCTTTCCTGCTCCCAGGCCAACCACACCCGCCAAAACCGGGCCTGTGGGCTGCTTTTGTACATACAGTTTGCTGGCGCACAGTCATCGCCTTTCACCTGCACCTCTCTATGGTTGCTTTTGTGCTACCAGGGCAGAGGCAAGTGGTTGCACAGAGGCCTTCTGACCCACATAGCCAACATTATTTACACTTGGCCCTTGAGCCCATTCTCAGTCTCCACAAGCGTCCTTCCTCCTGTCCAGGATGGTCTCTCACTCTCTGCCCAGCCAACTCCTACTCATCCCTCAGGCCCCAGCTCAGCTGCCCGGGCCTCAGACCTGAGGACGAGGCTCTGTGCGTGTGCCTGCTGCCACGAACTTAACTCAGGAGGCCATCAGGTTTATGATCCCCAGACCCAACAGCACGTCTCACTCAGGAAAAGGTCCTTAATGCAAATTTATGGTCTCAACAAACCAACTCTGCTCTCAAGAATCCATCCCCAAACCAAGCATCTGGCTAGAGAGAGTGCCCGAGGTTGCAGGGGCGTTGATGGGAGCAGGCACATTCCTCAGAGCTGAGCAAACACAAAGAACCCGCCGAGGAGAAGTGCCAGGTGCCAGCAGGAGGCTCTGTGGCCAAGGGCAGGGTGTGGCTACAAGAACCACAGATGGGAGGCAATGGATGCTTCACTCAGCCATCAAAGTCACGACAACCAGCAACCTGAAGTCTGATGCCAGGGGACATGTGGACAGGGGGTTGCCAAGAGGGCCTCTGGGAGAGGCCACAACTGTCCCAAGGGCCAGAACTTTTCAGACCCCAAACATCTATCACTTCCCAAGACAGGGGGAACTGGAGAGGTACAGCCACCCCCAGGGAGTGCAGCACATGCCTCTTGGCAGGTGCCTGCTGACGCTGGAGGGACACTGTGGACGGGGCAGCCAGCGACAAGTGTAGGCGTGAGACTTCTCTGCCAGAAGGAAGCAACAGAGAACAGATGCCCACTGGCTCTGAAGCAGAAGACCTGCCGGCCACAGAAGCCCCAGCAGGCTTGTCCACACGGCCTGGACTTCCAACCTCCCACACTTGTGGAGACACAGCTCAAGTTCCAGCCCCTACGCCGGGCCTGTCCCAGTCATGCTTGCAATTTACGAGGGAACAGGCTTCCAGCTCGACAGTGAGCTCTCCCGGAAGATATCTATAAAAACACTCCAAACGGGTCAGAGAGAGCGGGTGGCGTGGATCTCTCAAAGCTCCCAGAGGCTTCTTTGGTGGGTTCATGCTTCTCTTCCTTTCCGTCCTTCTTTTCTTCCTTTCTCCTCCCCTTCCCCACAGCTGGCAACTGTCCTGGCCTATTCTATTAGAATAACAACAGTAAGAACCACCACCACCAATAATCACTCAATGTGGCAGGCACTGTGCTAAGCTCCTCCCACCCTCCAAACAACGCTGATACAGGCCCCACTGTTTCCCCATTTAACAGAGGGGAAAACGAGGCTTAGAGCAAGGCACCAGGCACAGCAGGCAGAGACGCAGTGAGGAGTGCCCTGGCACACAAGCAGTGGGGCACACCGCGCCTTCCCCTGCACCCAGCAGCTCCGGGGCGCCGCGTGCAGGCACCGAGGCACTCCACCAGGGAAAGAGGCCATCCTCCGCGGAGGAGGCAGCCACCTGCTGCAGGACTTGGGCCACCAGGAAGGTCCCTCTCCCTCTGTCCTGCCCTACTGTCCTGGGGTCAGCTAAGATGCTCCCACAGGACACCGGCTCCTTTGGAGAGAATGTTCCTGCTCAGAGGTTCCCAGTGAACAAGCAAAGATATCCTGGGAGGAGGGTACATGGGAAGGCCACCTCTGAACATCTTTAACAAGGCTGTGTCAGACTTAGGAAGACGCTGGAGAAAATAAATGCTCCAGCAAACGTTTAAATTCAGCCACATGGCGGAGTGTAGCAGGACTCAGAGCCCGGGGCACGGCTGTGCCTCTGAGGACAGTCTTCTAGGAGCCATTGCCCAGGCCCTGACTGGGGACCCCCTTTACCAACCCAGCCGACGGCCATCCTGGCAGCAGTTCAACCCCACACCATCTCCCGCCAATACCTGCATCGTCCGAATGAGCGTCCGAGGACAGCAGCTCCTCCAGGGAAGCCTGGTCTGTCCCGGGGGCCAAGGGGCTTCCCGGCTGGGCTTCTCCCGAAGTCAGAGCCTCCTGCTTGGGAGTGGACGGCTCGCTCTGTGCAGCTCCGGGGCCTCCGTCAGGGGGGCACGCTTTGCTTTCAGCATCTGCAAGGAGATTCTGCTGTCAGCTGAGCCTGTCCTCTCTGCCTGCAGGCTTTCATTCCTAGGAAGTGCCCTCCTGGGAAGTACGCCACCCCGGGCCCTGGAGGGTACCCTACACCCCTCCCACACACCCGGGAGCCCCTCCCCACAGCCTGTCTTCGCATTGCAACACCCACTGGCCTCTGCTCTGTGCACACCACTGCCTGCCTGTGCGCTCTCTTACTCCCACACCCTCGGGAGACTGCACAATGCCCCCACCCTAACCCCGGCTCTGCCTTGCGGCTTGCTTCGGTCAACGGGACATCAGCAGCTTTGATGCAGGAGCTTCAAAGGCGCCTGCACGCTCCTGCTTGCTCCCCCTGTGGACCCCGGCCCTCGCCCCGAGGACACACCCAGGCCAACGTGCTGGGGGATGAGAGGAAGGTGGGGCAGAGCCAAGCTGCCCCCGTCCTGCCAGCCAAGGCCGGCCCAGACAGACGACAACCAACACTGTTGCTGTACGCCTCTGAAGTACTGGGGTTGTTTGTCACGTGACACTTTCATGGCTGCACATAACCAACTCTCCGCTGCACCCACCATCCCACCACTGATGCCCCATTATGCAAACGTTTCTCAATCACCCACTACGCGTCTGGCACGGTGCCGACTCTGGGAAGGCAGAGATTAACAAAATGCAAGCTTTGTCCCCTAGGGGCTCACACTCTGAGGCATGGTGAGCCCAGGAATGGGGGCACAGCCAAGGACTGAGCGGGGGAGCAAGGAGTCTCAAGGACCAGACAGGTGGCCGTCCCAGAAAGGATGACACCAGCCTCCTAGTTGGGCTGAAAGGAGGATGTGGTGCCTCCCTTGCTTGGGGTTCAGCTGCTGAGGCCTTTGAGGGTCCGGCCCTTGACTGATCGATCACCACCAGGGTCATCTTACTGATGAGGGGCTCAGCGCTCAGCAGCGTAACAACTGGTCTGGGTTACACAGCCACAATGTGGCAGGTCCAGGCTGGGAGACGCAGCCAGCTTCTGAGAGACAGATCACAGCCCAATGCACAGCACGCCCACATGGTCCCCGGAATGCCCCTTAGTCCCCACAGCCGGTTCGTCGAGGCCACCACTGCACAGAGCAGCAGCGAGACCGGCACATGTTCACACAGCCGGGAGGCAGCAGTGGGGGACCAGCCCAGCTCGGATTCTGGACAGTGTCCTCCCACGTTGCTCCCATCATGGCAGCAGGAGGAGGAGGAAAGGTTGATTTCAGAGTCGGGGGCCCCCTGTGCCCAGGTCGGTCCTGATTCCTACCTGCTGTCCTTGTGACCTTCAATAGTCCTTTGACTCCCAAAGGTGTCCTGGGTGGACACGGGCAGGTCACCCTACCCATGCACCCCACGCCACTGCCAACAGGACTACCTGTGCCCACACAGCAAACGTTTCTGGGCCTCAGTTTCCTCATCTATTAGATGGGGATGATAATCTTACTACGTGCTTCACAGTGTCACTTGGGGAATTGAGTTAACACAGATAACGTGTCCAGGACAGAGTAAACACTGTATGTGCGCTGGCAATTATTGTTATTGCTGTTGATGATGACCGGTTTTTGATGAGGAAGAAGATGATAAGGGTGATGGTCTGGCCACTCGGCCTGGGCCCTGTGCCCACGTGATAACAACAGGCTCAGGGGAGAGTTTCACAGGCTCCCTTAACAGGGTCCTCGCCGCACCCAGGACTCAGGCCAGGCCCCCGGCATGTGGCCCTCTAAGGGATTTGAGCCTGTAATCATTGCTCATCATGTTCCCTCGACTGCACATCTGTCTCCTGGGAAGAAGGGCAGAAAGGTTGGTCACACCAGAGGTCTAGAGATTTGGGGCTAGGAAGATATCATCTACGCAGCCATGTCATCTGACCAGGGGGTCCAGGCCAGGGGCCGGCAACCTTTCCAGAAAGGGGCAGATGGCCGGTATTTTAGACTTTGTGGGCCACATGCCATATGGCCCATGCTGCATATTCTTAAATTTTTTACTTTTACAAAAACCCTTTAGGTTTACAAACCAGGTCCTGGCCCAGGTGAGACTCTCAGCTAGATTTTGCCAACTGACTCCTAAGCTAAAAAGAGACTCAGACGCAAGCCAAAAGAACCCACCCAGTGGAGAAAGTTAGATATCACAAAGCTCAGAACTACAGTTTCTTGGATCCTCTCTCATGACTGGTTTACTCATACCTGGCACACAGTTGTGACGGTCTCTGCCACCAGCTAACCTGGCCCTGGGTGACAGAGATGACAGCCAGCACTCACTGAGGGTGTGCACTCTGCAACACCATCTCACCTGAACTCCATGACCATGTAAGGTGAGGCTGCTGCCTGCCGTTTACAGATGTGGACACAGACCCTTGGAAGAGGCATGCCATTTGCTGCCGTGACTATCATTTTTGATAATAATAATGATGTCTCCATCATCATCATCAGCAAAATAGTCAGAACATTGAATCAGGAAGCCCCAAAGGTCTCCAGCCTCTCACTGGGCTCAGCAAAGGCTCCAACCCCAACGCACCATCCTGGAATTCCTCCACCTGCTTCCGCAGCTCAGCAGACTCGCAGGACTTTTCTGGGCCGTGCTCAGAGCCCCGGCTCATAACCATGTTCAATGAAAAGTTACAGTTCCCAAAATAGCCCTGGTAGCAGGGCTGTTGCTAAGAAACGCTGGTGGAGGCGGGGGAAGCCATGGGCGGCTGGTCCCCTGCTCCTCTCACCGTACAGTCGGCCCTCCCTCCTGGCCGTTTGCCATCGGACGCCATTCTCCTTCTGAGCTGCAGAGAGGAGCACACAGCTGGGCGCCTGTGTTACGTACAGAGTAGTCACAGTGCAGGGGAAAGTGCCACAAACACACACACATGCAGGCACACATGTACACAGTGAAAGTGCATACAAGCACACACATGCATGCAGACACACACATGCACACACATACATGCAGACACACACTGCCCCCGGCGTTCCTGCCACACAAGCACCAGATAGACTTCACTTGTCACTGCCCAGTTCCCCTGAGGAAAGAAACCTCGTGTCTCTCAGGTCACTGAACACAGCACCAGGGTAACAACCCTCTCTTTCTTACATCCAATGATGGAGAATGACATTCCTTCAATTATTGAAGAAAATGCCAAATGGACACGTACTGGAAGATGGAGGGAAGTCATTCAGGAACATACACAGCGTCTGGCTGAGAGAAATGAGCAGGCTCCTGTCCTCAGTGAGTTTGGGCTGGGGACCGGGCGGAAGGGCTGGGGACCGGGTGGAAGGGCTGGGATGCTGACCGGCCCTTGCTTGCTCACAGACGCTTCAGAGGAGGATGGCCAGAGCAGTGAAGCGGGAGTGTGGGGAAGGGTCACCTCCTCCCCTCCCCATGCAGAACTGGTCCCATCTCACACGGCTCATAACAGCACAAACGGGTCCTTCCGAGGTTCCAGCAGACTACCAGACTTCCAGGAACGAGAGTAGAGCAGGGGGTCAGAGTGGGTCATAAAGTGCACGTGTTAATAGTATCATAAAATAACACACCCCCCAGAGAGAGTGAGGGCAAACCCGTGCCCTGCACACAGTCCTGGGGACTCACAGGCTCTCACCTGCAGGCCCTGTCCAGCGGCCAACTCTCCCGTCACACTGCTGACTGCTTTGTGGGCAAACTCCAGGGTAACTGACTCTGGGGGCAAGGGGGTATCCACATGCGTGTGTGTGTGCAGGCCAGAGGGCCCTCCCGGGGTTTGTCCTGGCCAAGGAAGCTCAAATGCGAGGTCTTGGGGCTGCTCAGGACTCCGGGCAGCTCTGCAAGGGTCTGTAGCCTGAGCCATGGAGGCCTCTCTGGGCCCCTCCATCACTGTCACCCACTCAGCCTTCCAGGTGCCCCCTAGTTGTGAAGTCTTGGGTACAGTGTGGCCAGATTCAGCGGGGCAGCTGGCCACCAGGGGGCGCTCCTGGCTGCACATCCCGCTGGGCTGGGAGCAGGTGGTGGCGGCTCAATGATTCCTTATTCCAAACCCAGGAAACTGCTCTGCCCTCCTGCGGAGGCCCCAGGAAGGGAGGAGGCGCTGCGTTCCCACGGGGGAGCCTCAGAGCTCACTTTCCAGCCCTTCTGGGCTCTGGGCCCCAGCCAACCCTGAGCTGGGAGGGAGCGGCTCTACACTCACGGATTCCTATCCACGGGGCAGGAAGCCTCCTTATCCCAACGCCAGGACGAATTAGGGGCAGAAAGGCCCTGACCTGGGCTTGACTTTCCCCCAGTGAGAAAAGGCATTTTCCCAGCAAGTCTCAGCAGGACTGAAACAATAGTGCAGGAGGTATGTACCCCGGGGGCCTGTTGCCAAACATCTTCCCGTGTCCCATTATCACTGTGCGTTCATCAGAGGTCAGACATGCAGCAAAGAATTCCAGCGTACAGGAGTTGATGGTGAAACATACCTCTCCTCCTCTCCCTGACCCCAGGCCCTTCCCAGAGGCCACCCGTTACCTGCTTCCAACATGCCCTTCCAGAGACACCCTGGGCAGGCTCACGGCAGACCCACTCAGCCCACCCACCCCGTCTGCCCTGGGCCCCCACGCCTGCTTGGAGGTGTCTTTGTCACTCAGCCGCTTCTTGAGGAGTCTAATGTTCTTAACTCTGTCCACGTTGGAGAGAGGGGCAGGGAAGACACAGGCCCTGTGGGACCCAGGACCCTCTCCCTCTTTCTAACCACCTTGCACCCTGCCTTCCTTCACGGGGCGCCCCGCTCCCTTCCACACGGGGCCCTGCACGTGCTGCTCCCCGGGCTGGAAGACGCCCTCGCTCCCTCGTATCTCTCGGCTTCTCGACCTTGGAGCACCAAAGGAAGAAGCGGCCAGGGAGGATTATCAACTCTGCGTCCCACCCCCAGGTGTTTAATTTACGAGCTCCCTGGGTGATCCTAATGTGCAGCAAACTGAGAACCAGCCTGTTCTACTCCTGCGGCCTCTGGATCCCGCTCAAACATCACCCCCCGACCAGGTCAGGTCCCCCGTGTCATGTCCTCAGGGCGCTACATGCCTTTCCTTCACCACACTCATCTCAGACATGATATTACACTTATTTGTGGGATTATCTAATGCTTGTTCCCCCAACCTTGAGTTCTGGGTAGATGCTATTCTGCTCACCTGTATCCCCAGCAGCTAACACAGACCCCAACACATAATAAGTGCTCAGGAAAATGTTGTGTGACAAGTATAAGTGCATTTTCCACTCTTGAGGAAAGACTGTTTCAGGGCCCTCTGGCTCCTGGTCCATAATCACTTAGCGAGAGAGAGAGTAATCTAAAGTACAGTTGGTAACAACACCGTGGGGGCCAAATCCAGCCCACCTGTTCTGTAGAGTCCCGAGCTAAGAATGGGTTTCACATCTTTAAACAGTTGAAAAAAATCAAAAGAAATATCATAGTTCATGACACATGAAAATTATAGGAAATTCAAATTTCAATGTCCATAAAGTTCTATTGAAACACAGCCACGCCTGCCCCTGTCTGTGTGGTCCAGGGCCGCCCGGCCACACAACAGCAGAGCCAAGTAGTCGCCACAGAGACCGTACGGCCCCCGAAGCCGAACGTATTTCCTATCTGACACTTGCCAGAAACGGTTCACTGACCCAACCTAGAGTGACACTGGAGGAGGGCTGGTGGGTGACATCCCAGCGAACACACGGAGCCAGGGGAGCAGCTCCCGCAGCAACCCTGTCAACTCGGCCGCTGCCACGCTGACAGCGGACAACTCGGCCGGGTTTGTCCCCGCGTCTCTGTTCTCCGTCCATCACAAAGTCGTTTTACAAAGATTCAGAGTTTAGGAAAGGCAAACCACTTCTCCCGGAAGTTTTCCCCTTTAGTTATTCAACCATCACTTCATTTTTGACGGGAATCAAAACCACACCTTTACTGATTCTTCATTCAACAATATTTTTTAGGACCTATGATGAACAGGTCTTAGTCCTGTTTCTACTTCCCCTTCCCCTCCTCCAAGATCCGGAGTAAGGTTTGTCCGCAACATGTTCAAAATGCCCGAGTTTGGAGCTGCTTTGTCCCATCCAAATTGAAAGAGCCCAGATTTCTAGCTCACCAACAACATTCTTCCAAATCCGAGAGTCAGACTAGAACATTCAACATCTGACCACAGGACTGATTCCAAGCTCCCTTTCACATGCGAAGTCTGATTATTAGGATTTGATCAGTGGTAGTATTTACTAGAATAACATATTAATTATTTGAGTATTATACAATGGCCAATGTAGGTTTCCCCTGAAAATAGCATCATCAGAATATTTCACTCTTTGAATCTAAAGAACGGAAGTGATGACAAAGGCTTCAGACCATGTTGGGCCTGTGAGCCATTAGGCCCGGCCAGGCTCAGAGCATTTTATAAATCTGATTCACGGACCTCATGAGCAACCTCCCTAATTCCTCATACCTGGGCCCAATTACAAAGACACCCGTAGTATTTTAAGGCTGAAAGGGGGAGATGGGAATCTTGATACACCCTCGGGGAACTGGCTCCTAAGGCTGGTCCTTCAATCGGGAGGCAGGAGTTGGTCCAGCTCCAGAGAGACTTCTAAGCGGCAGTGAGGGTTTGTGAAATGCCCTCCCTAAGCTGTAGCATCTCAGAGAACTAGAGAGCATGCAGGGTTAGCGTCAGGATCCACATCCTGGGCCTCACGCCTCACACTGTCTCCGCGACGCAGACAGAGGAATGCAAGAATTTTGTGAATTAATTGTGCTAGCGATAATAACCGGTGTTTCTGAAGGATGCAAACAAAGGCGGCCACGCAGACACCACCTGATTAAGATCTCCAGGCCAGAGTCTGAACAGCGTCTTGGCCTCCGGCTGTGTGACCCGGGGCAGCTGCCTTCGGGACCCTCACAGTCTTCATCTGCAAACTGGGGATAACAACCACGTCTGCTCCTGGGGATGCTGTGAGGGCGAAAGGGATAAGGCGGGTCCAACGCCTAGCACAGCACCAGCATTTCATTGATGCTTAATAAACGGGAGCAGCAGTAGTGGGTGGTAGTGGAAGTAAAAATAACCTGCCCTAATGAAGGATGAAATGTGAAGATTAAAAAAATGAAAGCCACTGCTACCACTTCAGGGGAATCAGAACTAACCACTAACTTAATCCACACCCAGCTCAGGCGGGCAGCCACAGACAATCCCCAGGGAAATGACTGCTCTCAGCTCCGAGCCCCAGGAGGAGGCGGCCTTAAACTCACTGACGGGTTCTTGGAGGCCGCGAGGGCTGGGCCCATGGGTCTTGACTCTGGGAGAATTCCTCCAACTGTGGAGGCCTCATTTGGCTCCAGCCACCACACCTGGACACCGGACTCCTCCAGTTCCCATCCCGCCCTGACAGGCTTCCTGGGCCCACACGAGATGCCCAGGTCTGCACTCCCGGGCCCAGCACCCCACCCGGGCGGTGGTCCCACTTACCCTGCTCCATCATCTCCAGCAGCCCCTTCTTGATGAGCTCCTCCCGACCTTGCCTGCCAGCCATCTTCTTCTCCAGCGCTGCACAACACACAACACCCAGGTGAGTCACGGGCAAGGACGTCGCGTGGCCCCGGCTGAGCCTCGGCCAACGCCGGCCTCCAGTTGACAGAATGGAACAGCGAGGCAGCAGGTGACTTCGGGGTTAGGGGCCTGGCCCACGGGGAGGGGCTGTCTGTTCAGGAATCTCAAGCTTCCTTACTGAGCAATCTGCTGGGCAATGTGCTCGAAGCACAGCAGAACAGCAGCACACTGAGTGGATTTTTCAAGGCGATAATTTCTGTGATTCATCTGAAAAGCAACACCTCGTATAACACCCTTCTCTAAGCTGGCTCCCACTGCCCATTCCTACCCCCTGCCAGATGCTCCTTAATTTACCAGCTCAGGAACGCATCCTCTCTCTGCCCCCGAGACCCCGGGGCACTTTTCTGCAGTTCCTATTATCATTTGCTAAACACATCCTGACCACTCGTCGTGTCGGTTCACAGACCAGACTTCTGAGCAACTGTCCCACCAAAGGGTTATCCAATAAACCCCACGTTAATGCTTTCAGAGAATTCACCAGATGAACAGGGAGGGAGGAGGCCGGGCCCCCATTCTCCTCCACCACCCCTAACCTGCCAATTCTTGTCAATTCCTCCTTCGGAATAGCCCTTCCCGCCTCCCCACCCCAGAGCAAAACACTCCAGCAACCTGCCCCCAAGTTCTCCCTGCCTCTGCCTCTCCCCTCACGGGGGGGCAGGGGGCTCACTCCACCTGACAGTCTCTACCTTTTCTCTAACTGCCCAGAAAACGATGTGCCTACAGTAGAACTCAGTTTCCAAATACAAAGCTATGTAATCCCGCAGACCCTGTCTTTGAAAGACGCAAACAAAGTGCCGGCTATTAAGCCTGGATGACAAGGGCCCACGGGTCACCTGGTCACCGTATCTGCAATCACTCTGCCCGATGAGTGAGGGCTGCAGTGGGGACACAGCAGCCGCACACCTGTCGGGGCTGAAAGTCTAGTGGCAGACAGACAACAAACAGGTAATGACGATGAAGTGACTTAATTTATTCCAAACTACTTACTGAGCACCTACTGTGTGCCCGCGGGGGATACAGCTGTGAGCAGGCCAGGCGTAGACTCTGCCTGAGGGCCAGCACATTGGGGCAGAGGACAAACATCTAAAAACAGGCGAGTGAATAATCCAGAACTGGAGGGCACTGGGGCGGGAGTTGGTGGGCCGGGCTGGGACATCAGTGGGTTCCCCTGAGGGTGTTTACACTGAGAGCGAAGGATGAACAGGGAAACCCAAACAGTTCAGAGAGAAGACATTTTCGGGCAAAGGGGACATAATTTCCCTTCTGCAGCCCAATGTCCAATCTAGTTTCCAGGTGCCGGACGCATGGATGAAACTGAGAACTTGAACTCTGACTTTGGGAGGTGTAGGTAAAGAGGCTGCCGTCCGTCTGAAAAACAGGGACGAGCAGAACGAGGGAAGAACCGAGGGACCCCGTGGTCCCACCAGCACTGCACGGTGCTCACAGGGACCAGCTCGGATTCAGGCCATCGCCTGTACTGACTCGTGAGTCCTCCCAGTGGCCCGAAGAGGCAGCTGCGAGGGTCTGCTGTCCCCAGCTCAGGGCACTGCCCCCACCACCCGGGCCACCCCCAGAGCAGGCACGGGCTCAGATGAGAGCCATTGTCATGGTGCTGCCCACTCCTCGCCCCGCCCAAGCCACTGTTGGCTTCATTTTTTTTCTTTAAATCATCTTTATTTTTACTTTATCTCAACCGAACCAATGACGCCTGTGAAATCAGGGTTTGATATACTGAAATAAATAACATCCCACACTTAGGGGGAAAGAACAGTTTAAAATAAATAAACGAAATGCAGTCCTGTTCCCCAGATTTCCAAATGTTCATAAAGGGCCCGAAGGTGGGGACACTACAGGTATTAACCCGGGGACCCTCAATGCCCCATAGGGTTCCCTCAGCACCCTGATGACCTTACAGGTCACTCGCCCACTATGACGAGGGGGCCTGGGGACATGGAGTCCTCAGAGCATGCAGCTCAACCCTCTAATCCCACGACCTGGAAAATATCAGGTGCTCCCCCAAGGTCATAGAGGTTACTCTGCTCTGGTCCCCTCGGCCTTCACTGATGCACAGACAAGCCTTCCCCAACTTAGTGCCTTTGCATGGGCTGTTCCCACTGCCACAATGCCCTTCCCTGCTTTCCTCAAGGGAGTCAACGAAGTTAGCTCAATGCTGCCTCCTCACCTGGGTCTTCTCAGACCACCCAACGGAAAGCAATGCCTACCACTGCCCACTTCCTCCCCAGCACCTACTCGGCTCCTTCGGGGCCCACCACAGTCGTGACTGCGACTGTCTCGCATGTTGGTTCACTGCTCACTTGTCTGTCGCCCGACTACCCACTCACGGTAAGCTCTAAGCAGGCAGGGCCCGTGTCTACCTTGCACCTGGCACACAGGAGGCGCTCAAGATTCACTGAATAACGGTGTTTGTTCTGCTCTGATTCTTGACAAGGAGAATTCATCAATCAACTTCTTGGGAGGTTAACAAAATAATTTCGTAAAACGTAAAACAGTGTGAGTGGGGGACCTGCTGCTGTGGCAGCCCTGCACTGGCTCTGTCTCCGCCATCCTGAGCCCTGCTGTCTGTGCCTCTTCAAGGCTGGGAAGGAAACAGGCACCCAGGGGACCGCCAGAGGCAACAGCCTGAGACGGCCACTTACCAGGCCAGTCCCCAGGGCCTGGGACTAACTCCGCGTGAGCAGCTCCCACACTAACTGTTTCCCGCCGTAGCTAACAGGCGTGTGGCTCAGCCAGAGGCCTGTGGGAGCTGAGATGCTGTCTCCCCCTGGGGTTTGCTTCTCAGAGCACCGACCTCCCCTCCACCAAGGACTCCAGGGACACCCTGTCATCCAAGAGCCAGACCCGCCCCGGCCCCACGACCTGCTAATTGCCTGACCCTAGGAGTAGCTTCCCCTCTCTGAGCCCCTTCCCATCCCTGAGACGGGCAGGGTCACAGGAAGAGACTGGCTGACAGGAGTGGTCCTGAGGATTCAGGTGGTTAGAAACGTGCTCTGTGGCTATTCCATCACGGGCAGTTGCTTTACTGTCACCACACGCGTCTCCAGCGCTTCAGTCTCACGGCCATAGTTTCCGGGGTGGATTTCGAGGGAGCAGGGGCAATGGTACAACATGTCCCGACCCAACTTCCCACAGAGCTGGGACTGGCAGGGTATGAGGATGCAGCCACAGGTGAGTGGGGAAGCTCCTGGATCCTCTGGCGGGAGGGTGTGGGGACAGGAGTACCAGGTAGGAAGCCTCTCCAGAAAGAGAGTTAGGAGCCAGGCAGCGGCTGGCTCTGGCCTCCAGGAGGAGAAGCCATGAGGCATCAAGCCCAAACCGAGGGCCTTAACCCTCCGAATCACCAGGCGCCTCTCAGGGACCGCAGGATCCGGACCCAACCCAGGCCAACTGACCCCGAATCTCTGGAGAGGGGCCCAGGCCCCAGGGTTGTCAAAGTGAGGTTCCAGGTGCAGGAGGGCTGGGTGCTTGCTACTCGGGTGTGGTCAGCAAGTGAGGGACTGTTATAAGTCAGGGTCTCGGCCCAGCCCCGCTCTGCACTGACTTGGAGTCTACAATTTTAACAAGGTCCCTGGTGACGTGTGTGTCCCCCAGGGTCTGGGCAGTGAACGGGTTAGAGGCGTGCCCGGAGCTGACCCGCCCCCAGCCAGGTGGGACCTGGAAGGGCCAGTGGAAGGAGGTGACCCAGAGGAGGCTGAGCAGCTCCTGCCAACAGAGGCCACAGAGCACAGCCTGCCGCTCCCGTGTGGGGCCTGGGAAGACAACATCGGCCACGGAAAGCAAGGTGACAATGACGCCGGGTCCCCTCTCCCCGGTGCTCACCGGACGTCGTCTGCTTCAGTTTCTCGTTTTTCTTTTTCCTCCATTTCCAGGGTTTGAAGATCCTGCCCAGAGTGGCCAGTTTGCTGTTCCTCCGCACGGGGGGAGTTCGAATCCCTGAGACCAGATATTCGGAGCGTGCTGGGGGCGTTTGGTCCATCTCATCTGCAAGATGAAAACCAAGGGAGGGCTCAAGTGACCGCCAATCCTGCGTGACTCCTGGGGGGGCGCCTGAGGTGATTCCCCTCACCCCGAGGGGCCACCAGTGATTGTCCAAAGCCTAGGGCCCAAGAGGGTCCTCAGAGCAATGGAGACTCTCTGGGGCCCATTCCAAACGGGTGTGCCTACAGGTGGCACCTGCCAGCTCATGAGTCCGTGTGCTCCACATCCCATCTGTGGAGACCCTGCCTCCTGCAACCCTCTCAAGCCCACTGGAGCCATAGGGGTTTGAAGACAGCAAATTCCACCATGAAGCCTCTCCCACCCCAGAACCTTTGCTCCCACTACACCCTCCCCCTGTGCTGCTCTCCCCTCAGCTTCGTCTCTACCGCATAAACTTCAGCTACTCAGCTCAACCTGACTTCCTCCAGGAAGCCCCTGCCTTCTCCTGTCCCAGACGAGGGTCAGTCCCTTGCCCTGTGCTCCCGAAGCCACTGTGCAGGCCCCAAGGAGCTGTAATGATCCCCGGGTACCTGCCCCTCCCGCACAGCTGTCAGCGCTCTGCCGTGGACCCCAGCACAGACCTGGCTGTGCTCCTCAGCGCACAGCTGCAGAACAAGTCAGTCCATGAATGGACAAAGGGAAGCAGCTCCCCCTGGATCCCTTCCTTGTTCAGAAAACCAGGCCACTTTTGTACACTCTGTGGGCTGCATAAAGATGGATGCCCGAGAAAGCTCATGGCACTGTTGTTTGTCATACAAGAGACTGGTAGCCACATACCCACCCATCGATAGGGCACTGGTTAAGTCATCATCCTTCCTCTCAATGACCCGGGTACAGACTCGGAAAAGAATAAAGCAGATCTCTGTGTGCAGACAGGAAACCTGGCCAAGACAAACTGCTAGGTCAAAAAAAGTCAGCATGCAAAATCACACAGTATATGCCACCAACGAGCGAAAGGGGGCCAAAGCCACGCACGTGCCAGTACATGCAGAGAAAACGTCTGCAGGGGCCCCCAAGAAATGGGGAGCACTGGCCTGGGAGAGAGGGAGATGTGGGCTTCACCACAGGCCACTTTGTAGTATATGATGCGTATTATTTTTTATAAAGAAGATTAGTTAGAATGGAAAGCAAAATGCAGCTACCAAAATGGTGCAGCTGGAGAGCCGTGGGCAACAGCAGTGCCGTCTCCACCAGCTCACCGGGCCCCCAGCTGACCGGCACAGCTTAGACCCGAGCCAGGCCATCACCATGGCAGGACCGAGAAAAAATGCCTGAGTTGCCTCAAACCCCTCCTGGGACAGGGAAGGGATGTTTCTTCCAGCAGTGACATTGACCTGAGTCCCCTCTGGGCTCTCTGACTTAACCTCCCAGTGTCACGTGGGTGGAAGTTCGCAGGCCCACCAGTGTTCCCCAGCACAGCTGCTGGCACGTGAGCCTGGACCTCGGCCAGGACACCCTGCACCCACACAGACACACACAGCGGCGAGCACATGCCAATTCCACACCTAGGGGGTTAGTTTGCCTCACTGCTGCCTATGGGAAGGGGCTGGCAGCCCGAGTTCATACAAAGCCAGAAGCTCCAGAGAGACTCGAAGATGCCGGAGGAGGAGGCTGGAATGAGCAAGTTCCAGGAGGGTGCACAGAGGAAGGAGGCCACGCACAGTCGGAGGGGCCGGGACCTGTGATGGGCCAGTCACTGTCAGACCCAGTGAAGGGTCTTCAGCTCCCACCTTTCCTACCTGAGGTGTCCCTGTGCCACCTACTCCCCACTGAGGCCCGTTGTGGCCTGCTCCGAATCCGGGCCCTGCCGAGTTCAGCCTGGAGAAGAGCTCGGTGGTGTCCGAACACCCAAGGCCCCAGTGACGGGTGCCCCAGTGATGGGCAGCCCTGGCTAGCAGCCCCTGGAGCCACCCCTCAAGTTCCAAAGGACTGTGCCCGTCAGTAGCCCAGGGCTGTGGGCAAGCCACTCAGCCCTCTGAGCTCAGTTTCCACATTTGTAAAATAAAGATAATAATCATCTGCATACCTGGGGTTGAGAGGAAGGTTCAGTGTGGCCAAAGGGCGGCCACGAAGTCTGGAAACATAGGTAAATATACATAATACACAAGTGATTGATAGTATGTTACAATCTGTGTAAAATAATATTATCTATGTTTCTAGACTTCATGGCCATTCTGATTAACATACCATGCTAGCATGGGTGGTTTTGGCAGAAATTTAAAAAAAAATTTTTTTATTGAAATATAGTTGACATAATTATATTAGTTTCAGGTGTAAACATAGTGATTCAACATTTATATACATTATGAATTGATCACCACAAATCTAGTAACCATCTGTCACAAAGTTATTACAATATTATTGATTATATTCCCTATGCTGTACATTACATCTCCGTGACTTATTTATTTTATGACTGGAAGTTTGTACCTCTTAATCCCCTTCACCTATTTCACCCATCTCCCCACGCCCCTCCCCTCTGGCTCGGTAGAAATTTTCACGATAACAATTTATATAAGTAATACAATAATTATTATGGAGTGAAAGTTAGCCACTGCTTGCTCAGGGCCAGGTACTGTCCTAAGGCATTATCTTATTTTACCCTCACAGTGAGTCTATGAGTAGAGACTGTTATTATATACATTGTACAGATGAGTAAACTGAGTCTCAGGGCACTGAGCCATTTTGTGGACTGACACAGGCGAGGAAATGCTGGGGATGGGGCATGACCTCGAGCAGCCTGACTCCGGAGACCCCTCTCAAATCTCTAAGCTGCTTTTAGGCTGACTGTATAAATTTATCACCCAGAGAGGACACAAATGGATGGCACACCAAGACAAGAGGCATAAACCAGCACTGTCCCAGCCAACCACTCTCTCTAGCTGTCATTAATTGAGCGTTAACTGTGTACCAGAGGCTGTGGCCACAGGCTGCCGTGCAGAGGATGAGCCCAGGGGTGTCTTGTTTGAGAATTTCTCCCTGCAGGCTCAGCAAACCAAAGGCACCTAAGGCAGCGACATCCTCCGCCCTGTTTTCAGCTGAAACTCCAGCAGCCAGAGCCCAGCACCCAGGAGAGGCCCAGGAAATTCGGGTGTGGGAGTGATCAAGCCAGGGAGACCAAAGCGCACGGGTCAGGGATCCCTCCCGCCACCATCTCCCCAGCTCCACACTCTAGGCGTGCGGGGTGCAGATGGGTCCTTCTCTTCCCAGAGGCAGCTGATTCCATGTTATTATCCTCTCATTTCCTTCCTCCGCCCACGAACGCCAGATGGGAGTAGAACCACCAGTGCCACGTGGCCCCAGGAAAGCTGGCTGTCCTGGAGGCATTTCTGGCACAACAGGAAAAGAACTGGACAGGTCTCCCCAAGCCTCTGGGCTTGTTTGAGATGAAGACGAAGATCCCCAGAGATGAGCATGGGGACGATGGAGCATTGTGATTGCTTTGTTTATACCTTGCCTCATTCCACAAAGGATGGGTGGCAGTCACCAGAAACACACACACCCAACAAGATAAAATGCATTTGAGGGGCCGGCCCCATGGCCGAGTGGTTAAAAAGTTCTGCACTCTGCTTCGGCAGCCCAGGTTCATGAGTTTGGACCCCGGGCGTGGACCTACTCCACTCATCAGCCATGCTGTGGAGGAGTCCCATATACAAAACAAAGACTAGCAATGGATGTTAGCTCAGGGCGAATCTTCCTCAAGCAAAAAAAAAAAGAATGGGGCCGGCCCCGTGGCTTAGCGGTTAAGTGCGCGCGCTCCGCTGCTGGCGGCCCGGGTTCGGATCCCGGGCACGCACCGACACACCGCTTCTCCAGCCATGCTGAGGCCGCGTCCCACATACAGCAACTAGAAGGATGTGCAACTATGACATACAACTATCTACTGGGGCTTTGGGGTTAAAAAAAAGGAGGAGGATTGGCAATAGATGTTAGCTCAGAGCCGGTCTTCCTCAGCAAAAAAAAAAAAAAGAGGATTAGCATGGATGTTAGGGCTGATCTTCCTCACAAAAAAAAAAAAAAAAAAAAAAGGAAAAAGATGGATGTTAGGGCTGATCTTCCTCACAAAAAAAAAAAAAAAAAGAATGAGCATTTGAGGAAATTGAAGGAAAGGGGAGTCTGGACCGGACCACAGCATCAAGGGAGTATAGATACCTCATGGGTGTCAGAAGAGGGCACACATGTGGCTCTGAGCTTCCTAGCAGCCAAAGCAAAAAGGAGCATCACATAGAATAAACTACATTCAGACCCCAAATCCCACTCTGTTTGCACCTGCATTGCTGAGACCCTGGTCCAGGGAGCCAGCATCTCTACGCCAGATGCTCACACAGGCCTCTAATTGGTCTCCCCATGACCTCTTACAAATATAACTCTAATTGTATCACTTCCCTGCTCACCTACACCCTACCCCCACCCCCACCCCTAGAGGCTTCTCTTCTCATTTAGGACAAAATGCAAATTAATCACCAAGCCTGTACAGCTCTCCAAGATCTGCTCCAGCTCCCCTACCCACCTCATCTCTGCCCATTTGTCATCATCATTACTGTGCATTAACATTTAGGGCATGTTATGCAAACCAATATGGCCTAGTTGTTAAGAACACAGGTGCTGGAACCAGGCATCCGGGTCCACAGCCTGGCTGTCACTCACCAGCAGAGGCTGAAGCGTTGGCGCCCTTCTCCTCTTACCTGCATCCTCACCCTTGCCATGTCCTCACTGGGGGTCGGGGAGATGGGGGACCTCCCAAATCCTTGCCTGGGGCCTCGGCCATGTGGCTTGCCTGACCCGATGGAAGGTGGGCAGAAGGGACAGCGCGTCCCCCTCCTAAGCATCCCTTTCCTCCCCAGCCTCCTCCTCCTCACCACCATCACCACCAGCACTATTTTAACCCCCTGACTCCCCGTTCCCCCTGCCACCTCTGACCCTAGTGGCTGCAGCAGGCACTGGGGTTCCCACCCCAAGGCTGACACACAGGGCTCCTCACAGCACAGCCTGGGGCATGC